AGCGTTTGGATCATATGCACCACAGCTCAGTCCCTTGTGTGTCATCATTGACTAACGCCAGTTCCAACCAGTCTGTGTTCTGGAGAAGCAGACCGTTACGAGTCTCGGCTTTGAACCCTAACATCTTGATCATGACCCCTGACCAACTCTTGTCGGTCGGTGGTCCGATATCAATAAAACTGATATATCAAATTTTTTCGAAGAATGTTTTTGAGCTCAGAACCAATGCCAAATACCTTTTGCGGTTAGGGGGCTTAACAATTGGTCCTAGCCATGCAGCCGCCATTATAAGTCTGCTGGAATTTGTCAGCTTTTTAATCTTCCCCAGACAAAAGAGCACCTGACAACACCAAGATAAGAACGGTATATTCAAATGTAAAGGCGTGCATACTCCAGACAGTCTTCAATCTGAGCAGCCGGATTCATTGATAGTTTACCTCATTTACGTATCAATAAAATCTTTTAAGTCTGGCCAGTCCACATTTGGAATGCCCAGCATCACTGATGGCTCACGTCATTTTAATGTGAATGTGCACTCCGAAGTCTCGCCAGTCCATGATCACTACAAACAGCTCTATGGTTCGCCTCTCAATAAAAAAAATAATGCACAACTTATGAAGTCCCAGCTTGCCAGCGACTGGAACGGCAGGCGTTATTGACAGTTCAGTTCTTTTATACCCAAATCAAATGACTTGCTAAACCTGCCCCCCCCAAAATGGGGTACAGTTTTCAAGTTTGGACCATGCTGTGGTAGGAAAGCGTTAGTGCTCATCGTATTATAAGGCCGATTCAGGTACATGTATGAACCAGTCTTTATAATGCTGAAGTACATGTATTCAGTTTTCAGCTCCGTTTTGATTCAGCCTACTTGGGAAACAGTTGTCCATAGCAGTTTGGGTAATTTCCAAGATAAAAGCATGGGACATGTGGGCTGTGAAGTTATCAGTCTCAGTTCAGGTGTCAGGGATGATTTGGATCATTGTAGTAGAGCATTGTTCCAGGTATTTTGGGACTTGTTATGCTAACCAGCATGCTGACCATAAAGAGGGCACATTCTGCACAATCCGACATTAAACACTGGGGTCTTGGGGAAAGACTAAGTGATTGACAAAGCCATGAAATATTACAAAGGGCACACAAAAGTTTAAATCATCTAAGGTTTTGCTCCAGGTGTAGATTGGCCAGTTTTGATGTCTGGAATGCCACACATTCTCGTGGGCTGATTTCGGAGCCACATAAAGCAACAGTGTTACTGTACCATGACAACACTATTAGACTGTGTGTCTGTTTATGGCTTTTGATTTTTCCCAGATTTCTTTAAAGGATTTAACCTTTAGTTATGATCATTTATGGCAAAATAAAAATAACGTGGACCCTTCAAAGGAGCGTGAAAATGGTTAAGGGCAACTGTAAAGGTTGGGGATGGGCCTACCTTGGGCCAGAGGAAATCAACTGCAAAAGAAGTGCTGTATGACTAGCACGAACATTTTAACAAGTCCGTGAGACTGCAATAGTTGCCAGCAAGATCAGACAGTCGGCAAGAGCAGAGAAAGCTGGTGGTGTCAAGATCCAATTCATGAAAGGGAAGTAGGAGGTTTATTGGGCCGAACACTGTAATAATACATTCATTCATTAGAGTTTCTCTTGAGCGACCCGCATCAAGTACAACTTTTGGAAAAGGCACATTCTTCTTTCACCAAATACTTTATTATAAATTATAGCTTTATTTTTTGTCATTTTGTTGGCACTTGTGATATATATCAATTTCAATGTTAAAGTGATATCGTTTATACGGATATCAAAGCAGAATAGATACATCAGATATTATCGATACATCTGCATGTGTTAGAACATTCCAAGAAATAGAAAAGGTACTTTTCTACAATCTAAAAAGAGAAGGGCAGTGCCGAGACATGTCAAATATTATGGGAAACAAATTTTTTCAAGAATGTAATAGTTGAACCAAACAAATGCTTAAACTCCTGAGCCAAAAATTCAAGTTGTAGTCCCGTACATTTGTACACAGTTTCAATTGTGTTGATTTACCTAAAAAGAAAAGGTACATGTACAGTGTATATGTATGTTCAGTTTTATACATGTACACGTAGCCACGCCGATTGGACATGTTGGAGCTGGTCAGGGATCTCCCCCACAGTGTTCCACTGTCAGGCACTAAGCCTGATTAAATAACCCACCGACCAGCAACTTAAACCCAGAGTGACCACAAATATTCAATCTTTTGTATCATTTATGTACATACAGGTAATGAAAGCTACAAGATGTCCCACTGATGAGCTCTCCTTCACGAATTGTGCTATCATTTCAGCAGGATATTTCGATGAAAAGACTAAGTAAGTCAAGATTTAACAACAAAATCAGAAAAACTATTTTGTACATTTTCGTTAGATGTACACATGGGCTTAATCTTTTCCTTCAAATCAGTACAGCCTTTTGTGAGGCTGAGGTTAAAATGTTGATGGTTTTTTTATGTTATCATTGTGGCCTTTTTGAGGCGTAAAGCTAAATGTGATGGTTTTTTTATGTTATCATTGTGGCCTTTTTGAGGCGTAAAGCTAAATGTGATGGTTTTTACGTGGACTGGAGAGGAAGGGGAACAGGACAACAGACCCAAAAAGTGGTCCTCCTCTGTAAAACCAAACAGTTTGGCCCTTTTTGGTCAGGGAGGGACACATTCCCTCCCCCAAGCCACTGCTCCCTTAGGAGTTAGTGAAATGGAATCAATCCAAGAGCAACATGCTCCAGCCAGCATGTTGTAGAGTAAGTGATGTCAGCCAACGTTGGCACATTGCCAAGTTTTTATGTCTTCAGTGTCATTAACTTCAGGCAACTTTCAAGTTTATACATCCAAGTTGCAAGTGAAATGCTGTCATTATGTTCGAAAACAAGACACAAACCTCGGTTTCAAAGTGGACCTTGTTGAAGTTTTGCTTGATCTTCGTACTTCAGCAATGATCATCACAGTTGGTTGCTGCATTGTTATTGTTAAAATGCTTCATACATCTAGATGTAAATATATTTAGTCTAAACTGATTTGGAAGAATGGAACAGATACTGTACAATGTACTTTGTATTTGGAAACAATTGAATAATTTTATGAACTTCATTCAAATGACGCTCTTTGATAAGGTTACCGTATCTTTGGTTTCAGGTTAGCTTAGCAGCAGTTTTGTGATGTTTGCAGCATATTTCATTGTAGACAGAGAAAAAGTGAAATAAGTTTTTAATTTTTGCTTTTACTAGGCACATAATGGTGAAAACGTCCCCCAGCTCAGAATACGTTTTCAGTGTAAAAAGCTATCCAGGTATGCAGCATGGTACAGTTGGATTTAGCCTACTTCAGGTGAGCCAGTTAAGTAAACTGAGTTGTTACATACAGTATGTCTAATTGTACATGTACGTGTTTTTTTATAGAAATCAATATCACCTATAGACCATTTTCACCCACGTGACTAAATGTAAACAATACCGCCACGTGTGGACTGCCTTGTCCGCGGTCATCGCATATATTCCTACAGCCAGCTTCAGCCGCGTACGAGTGCACATGTGAGCTCTGCATGTTTGACTAGTTTACCTTGAATAAGTAGATTACCATCACAACACTATGCACTCATTATCATTGCAACACATCGCAGTCCAGCACAATTGTGACATCACACGAAAAAGGTCTACAGTAGGATCTGAATTACATGTAGGATGAGTTAGCGAATCCACTACTTGCATGAAATTCATGGAATCCATTATAGATACATGTACCAACATATTCGATACCATATCCGAAGCAATGGATCTAGAATCAACATCAACATTGACACTGAAGTCACCAGTTATAATTAACCCCTTCCCCCCAGGATATTTTTACCACAACCTACCTGGCTGCTGGGATTATTTTTCCCATTTTGCTAATTGCAACCTCAGACACCTATATTGGCCACCAGGCCTTATCTGCCAAGTTTGCTAGGTCACACACTGCGCACAACCCGGCTCTGTGTGGTCATGAACCCTGCTGGGGTATTTGGATCCCGTTCAACAAAATATTAGGTACCCCGCACTTGCCTTGCCCACGCGACAACACTAACTACCAAAGGACGCTCAGTCACAGCGAAGAGTGCAGCGCCCGCTAAGTTCACACGGTCTATGCTTGCTTTTAGCAGGCACAGTGGCTCATGTATCCACTTTCCAGTAGTCCATGCATGCCCAGCATCAATGCCCAGCCCCAACTTGTACATAGAGTGCACTTGTGACCGGACGTGGGATTCTAGGCCGCCCCTGGTAGTGGGGTGGTAGGTCCATCCTCCAGTGATAGAAGATGAGGCACTCTCCCTTGACTGATTCCCCCAAAGAATTCAGTCGGAAACCGGATGTTGATTTAATTGGTTGATTGATTTAATTATT